GTATTTTTGAACTACAGATTATTATACCATATTTATTAGCCTTTACAACTCATTTTATGAGTGCCACAACATTCTGTTTTCTGTATCAACTGATAAATTGTAATAAATACTGTAGTATACTTTAGTTTTTTTTTTACTACAGTAAAAGTGGTTTATTGTATCATAATACATATAGCTGTAGAAAACATATTACAGAATGGGTGATTTGTTTATATTAGGTGTGCATCTGCATAAAACATTACAAACAATCTACGAGCAGAGATAAATACAATATAAAATGTTGAAATAAAATGAACAGAGCTTTGTTGTTTTTCAACGAGTCTAACAGTATTCAGGTACAGTAATGTAATAATCTAATGTAAAATAATACTACTATTGTCTTCATTTTTTTAATTAAATAAAATGATTTGCTATTAAAATGACCAATTATGCAATTTATTAGACCTAAAGCTTTTACAGTCGCAGGCCTCAGAAACACACGCAAACGCTAAATTATAATCCAGACTCAACCTTGTATTTCTTGTGATGTGACTATTGTGAATGATCATTGATGCTGAAATAATGCTCTGGGATAATTTATGTGAGCTAAGGGATAATTGACCCAAAAAATGTTAATTCATAATCGTCACAATCATATTTATGCGGTGAACTATCCATTTAAGATTGTGCAAACAGTGAACCTCTGTAAAAGTAAAGCTTTAATGTTTTAATTTTCCACTTAAATACCAGTTCCTCATCTAACATTCATTCATGCAGTGAATAACTATCATTAACTGAGTTACATATTTATTATTCAGTTTACGCTTACTCATCTACTAACTGTGGTGTCAGATGCGGTTTTGACCTCCATCAGTGTTTTTAACATCTATAAGACTCGACAGAATCTCACACAGTCTGTGGCATAAATTGATAGACTGTTTCAGCTTTAGCAGCACATCATGCTGAATTACTGATCCTGAGCTGAACATTGTTTATACAAGTACCACAAGTTATTTAATCTGGTCTAAAGACTAAAAAGATGTTTAATATTAAAGATATAAGGTAAACTAAAACCACTTTGTCCTCTCTGACACTAAATATGTTTTAGCTGTTTTATGATTAAAAAAATATGTTTGTGATTATTAATCTGCAACCAACAACCTGCAGTATTTTATAATATGGTGGCCTTTAGCGTCATTGTGCAATATATGAACTGTGGATTACACTAGAGGCCACATCTGCATCTGACACCATATTTAGTGACTGAAAAAGTGTTGATTCAATTAGTGAATGAATGAATAAATGAGATACTCACTGAATGAGTGAATGTTAGTCGCTGAACTGCTTTTCTGTTGTCATTTAAAAGCTTTTCATTTCCTGATGAACTGTGGCCTATTTGACGAGATGTTTTGCTGTTAAATGGCAAATCATAAATAATTTAGTTATGAAAATATTGTTTCTATATGTATTAATCATTATATATATATAATATATATGAGTCACTGGGCGTTGCAGGCACTGTTATTCAATGGTTTAGATCTTACCTCTCTGACAGATCATTCAGGGTGTCTTGGAGGGGAAAGGTGTCCAACCTACAGCATCTAAACACTGGGGTACCTCAAGGCTCTGTTCTTGGGCCACTTCTCTTCTCCATCTACACGACATCTCTAGGACCAGTCATTCAGAAACATGGATTCTCCTACCACTGCTATGCTGATGATACCCAACTATACCTCTCTTTTCACCCTGATGATCCCTCGGTTCCAGCTCGCATCTCAGCCTGCCTGTCGGACATTTCACACTGGATGAAAGATCATCATCTTCAGCTTAACCTTGCGAAAACAGAAATGCTTGGAGTTTCTTCTAACCCGACTCTGCACCACAGTTGCCTTTAAATAGCACAACATTGTGATTAACTATTCAGTACAATAAACTTTACTACGTGGTTCTAAAATACTATAGTATTTAGTTTAAATAACTATATTTTATTTGGGACCGTACTGCTGTTTATTTTTATCCAAACAGTGCCATAAGACCAATAAAAAGTCAACTTTACTTCATCATTTATCATTTCCTCCCAGGCCCGGCGCCAGGAAGTCAAAACTGAGGGGGCACTTTAAATCCATAGGGGGGCACTAGACCTGGTGACTCATTTTGTTCTCTTGTTTCTTTCATTTAGGCTATTTATTCACATTTATTATTACTTTGCATTACTGCCCAAGTTACTGAACTAAGGCAGTAATATAGGCTACGTTTTAATAGTAATAACAATATGCAGTTGTATGCAAGCTGACCCACGATCAGACTATTCATTTAACCGGTAAATAAATATAGTAAAATCAGCTCAACCGAGTCATCCCGCTTCACGTATTATCCAACCAACATCATTGTTAGGGAAAAGCTAAATGTTACAATTTAATGTCATTTAAAACAATTACTTAGTTTCATTTTAAGGCATTAGTGTAACCAGAAAAATACCTAAAAAGATACCAAAATTTACACGTTATTAAAGTGAAAAATGGTTAAATTTTGGCATGGATAACACTCAATATGCTATATAACTTTTTTTCATGATTTTAAATGTAAAAACAAAGATTTATCTTAGGCTATCATAAGTGTGTTTTTTTCGTGAAATTGTAAAACCATCATAAACCATTAGGTTACTAAGCCTACCGTAATTTTATTTATTAATTATTTAATTTATTAAGCCTTTTTTAATAGCTTGTTTTCAGGTTATTTTCATTTTAAAGCCATGAGCTACAAGTCAAAACAAACTCGATATGTTGTATTTTAGCTCTTAAAATAGATCTACAATATATTTTGTTTAATTTTGCATGAGCAAAAAGCTGTATAGCCTAAATGACATATTTTTAAAAGATTATCATTCTGCTTACCTGCAGTGCGTGAGAGGTTTCTCAGTTGATCCGCGATAAATCCACTTAAGCACTATATTCCATTTATAACACTGCAAACTTGACTTAATAAACGCAAAAGGCATTTATTATGTGTTATACCTTGACTGCTGCTGCATAATGGGATGTTTCTCTACACAACTGTAAAAGTGCGCTTTTTAGCAAAATGAAAGCAAACATTCAAAGGGTTCTGCGTTTTGTCAATTTTAGTTTAATTGTAATAATAATAATAATAATATTAATAAATAAAATTAAAATATTATTTATAGTGTAGCCTACTGTGGGACTGTGCAGTAAACTATTTGTTTTTATTAAAACATTCTTGCTACATCTTCCCGAACTAAATGACTGGCAGTTGCGTCTCTGCTAAAATTAATTTAACAGCAAATTTCTTATGTGTTTTTCCTTTTAGAGCTCAAGAGAGTTGTGTTTAAATAATTAGTTAACCAAAGCATGTAAGGAATTAAGCTGCTCCTATCATGTCATCCACTTTTCTCCGTTGTGAGTTGAGTGCGCCTCCATCACCGTGTGCGCGTTTTAAAGGCTATTTACGGCCGCACCTGACCTGACGCGGGGACCGGATCTCTGAACTATAGGACTAGCTTTAATATCACTATTTTCATAATTCAATTGCTATGTCATATATTTTAAAATATTTAAATGTGTGTTCTTAAGGTTGGAACGACGAGAGTGTTAATAATTAATGACAGAAAGAATTTTCAGTTTGAGTCCTTTATAAAAACTGGGGGGGCACAAACTCTTTCTGAGGGGGCAATGCCCCCCTTTTTTTAAAATTTTTTATTGTTCTGACCATTCTACATTTATAGGGTCATCATAATTGCATTATAACAGGCTTCATCAGGCAGTAAATCTTTTGGACTCTTAAAATGTTCTTTTGATTATCAGAGACAATAAATATCACACACTTCTGATCACTTCTACATTCACTGTAATCCACTGCCACAATCACACACACACACACACACACACACACACACACACACACACACACACACACACACACACACACACACACACACACACACACATTGCTGTATAATAAAGCTTTGAACTAAACTTTGGATTTGGATGAGGCAACTTTAATATTTTATTGATTTTAACACGTAATGAAGATCAAAGGCAAACATGAAGGGATTTACATTATAAACGCATCAGGAAATGATGAGATTAGAGAGTTTTAAATCATTTTTAACACACGGATATAAACTTGTAGAAAATAAATTTGAAGGTGCCTTTAAAAAAAGTGTTAAATTACTTTAAAAACTAAAAAACAAATCGCCAATAGGTGGCAGCAAGAGACCGCTTTATTCGAGTGAAGCTTTGAGTGATTCATTCAGCCACGAATCACTGATTCATTGACTCGCTCGATTCTTTACAAAGGCCAGAATCATTCGTGTAAGGAAACGCAGCTGTGTATTATTCAGAGATGTCCAACTGTTCTGCAGTTTATTTAATTGTTATCATAGTAATGATTTCACTATTATTTATGAGAATATAACGCGGAAGTTTTTCAGCGCCTCGTCACGTGATCGTCAGCATCCATGGCAACGGTTCTCTTTGTGAGGTTTTGAACTCCGCTCTGTCATTGGCATCTGATCTCGGCGTCCTTCGTGGCAACTGATTCCCAGATTATTGATATTATTGATTGTTGGATACATCGATTGATCGCCTGCTGCTCCCTTCATTCAGGTTTGACCCTTGTTATCACACTGTGTTTTGTGTTCAGTATGTCTTGTGTTCATTACAGGTTTCAGAGTCGACTCATCTACGACTCGCTCCAATTTGAGGGCCTCAACATCACTGTGGGAGAGCTGAAGCGGCAGATCATGAGGCGCGAGAGGCTGAAGTTCTGCCAGCTGAAGATCAGCAACGCCCAATCTGATAAAGGTGAGATGAGGAAAAGCCACTTAAACTATACTACACTAACATTAGATGTGTTATCAGACAGACTTGTAGAAGCTGTGATTTATTATCATGACTCTGATGGTGACATATAGTGATGTTTTGAGTGTTTTAAAATGCTAATGGCACTCAAAGTATACCATGGTAAATGATTATTACTATATTCAAACTTTATTTTGCTGTCAGAATACACAGATGATGATGCTCTCATCCCCAAAAACACGTCGGTCATCATCAGACGGGTCCCTGCGGCTGGACTGAAGTCATCAAACAGAAGATTTGTTGGGTAAGTTATGTGAAATGAGTGCAATCGTCCTCTGATAGATGTTATATCAAGAGTTTGAGTCTGTCTGTGGTGTTTTAGTCACACAAGCTCCTTTGTTTTGCAGACATCAAGCTGGATTATCAGCCAAATCTTCTCAAACAGGTGATTCTTCACTCCTCTCACTGGAGCAGCTGTTGAAGGTATTGAACAACTGATTAATTCACCCCACTGTGCTGCTCTGTATTGAACTGCAGTGTTTGCATTTGAGGCGTCATAATGACATGTAGTGCAGAATATCAATACACAGTGTAAAACACCCACACACACACACACACACACACACACACACACACACACACACACACACACACACACACACACACACACACAGAGCTTCTTAGGGAGATTTGAGGGTGTTTATCTGAGCTCTTGAGCAAATCAGTGAAATAAAATTCTAATGTGCAAATGCCTGTGAAACAGACTGAGAATCTGGCTGAGGCAAAGGCATCAGAGGAGGACAAGCTAAAAGCGGTGATGTACCAGTCCAGTCTGTGCTACTACTCCAGCAGGTGAGCGTTCAGACACTGACAGGTTTGGTTTGTGAGAAATGTTAGAGCTGATTCTCATGGTTCTGATGTTCATCAGTGAGGCCATGACACTGCTTGGGCTTCTTCCACCCAACTATGTCTGCTTTCACTGTGGGATCCCAGGACACCACATTAGGCACTGCCCCTCTAAAGGGGTAACTGGGTTTTCTAAGCTTATGGTTGCTGTGAACTTGAGCTCTTGTCTCCATCAGTCAGATTGTTTGCTCTGTCGTTTGACTGTCACTCATGAATTCACAGGGCAGCAGCTCTGCTCCGCACAAGCGCATCAGGAGGAGCACAGGGATTCCCCGCAGCTTCCTGTTGGAGGTGGACGACCCAAACCGAAAGGGAGTCATGATGGACGGCAGCGGCAAATACGTCATTCCCATCATAGACGCGTGAGTAAACTGTACTTGGCATTGCAGCATGTTCTATTGTTTGTGAAAATCTCACATTATGTCTGCTTGTGTGTGTTTGCGCTCGATCTGTTCAGTGAGGCCTATGCTGCTGAGAAGAAAAAGAGGCCTTCCTTCTGCCAGACCAAGCCGCTGCCCTCCTCTTCCTCAGCTGGTGCAGCATCTTCAGTCCAGGACGCCAGAGGGAAACGTTCCCGTTCCCCATCTCCACCAGAGACGCACGGCGACCAGAAGAGACCACGTCACTGAGAGACCTTCACCCAAGAGACCTGGAGCCGACGTGAGCACAGTGTATATATTGTACATAGTTTATGAATAAAACTGAATAAAGATTATAGCAGCATAAACTGTGGACTGGTTGACCTTCAAACAATACAGAAACACAAAAGAAAATGATCAACACATTAAGATAGAAATGATGAACAAACATGCTGCGGGAGAACCAGTGTGCTGTCCTGCTCAGAATCTAAAACTTTTAGTTAAAGTCTATTTCAGAGGTGCTTCAGGGAAACTTTTTCTTATGAAAGGCCAAAAACTAAACTCGTCTGAGGGTGGTGGGCTGGAGGTAAATCTACCAAACTGTAAAATTGTCAATGTAATTTCCTAGTTTATTATTATTATTCATTATATAATTTACATGATTCACTGAATACTGTAATTTACAACATTTCAAATTCTTTAATTGTATTAATAATTATACATTTTATAATGAATGAAAATCTCACAATAAAACATGAACAATCCCATTTATAACACTAAAAATACACTTTGCCTTTGCTTGCTGATGTCTTCTGTAATGTCTGCTCTCCTTCAAGTGACTATTATTTTATTTGATTCATTCACAACATTTCATTGAAACGTTTAATTTCAGTTTGTTTATTTTTGTATCTCAACAGTTAAAAAACAAAGTTATGTTGTATTAGAAATGACAATCTCTGTTAAAGACTTTCCCCCAAAACTCCCCATCATTCTCCCTCTCTTCTCAGATGGGATGGAGGGCCAAATCAAAAGTTACAGTGGATCCACTTTGGCCCACGGGCCCTAGTTTGGGCGTCTCTGGTTTACACCGATGACATGCTCATCTAATCAATCCTGGCCAAACAAAATGTTGCAGCTCATCTGGTCTTCAATGATCCCAAGAGAGCCCACGTCACACCTCTCTTACCTCTCCACTTACACTGGCTGTCAGCTGAAGGTTCAAAACATCTCCACTTGCTACTTGCTACACTTGCCCCTCTGTCCAGAAGTGAGCACTGCCTCTTAGAACCATCCCATCAAGGATTTGGGGGTGTTTAACCCTTCTGTGCTGTTGGTGAAGTTTTGGTCCACTCTGGGCTGATTTTGAGGCTTAATTTACCAACAACTTTCTCTGTGGTTCAGCAAATGGGATGATTTTTGGTGACAAATCTTGTTGACACATATTTTGGGAAAATATTTTTAGAATTTTTTAAAAACTCAACAATACACTCTGGGCAAATTTACCACCCTTTCATTGTGTTCATGGCTGTTTTTGCCCAAGTGATTTCCATTATTTTTAAATGCAACGTCATGACAGCGTATAATCATGCATTCTTGATTGTTGGTGGTTTTTCCTGTTGGGAAGAGGTAAGATTTGTGATTTTTGCTGGTGATCATCAGTTACAGTTCAAAAAAGCTTGATTTCTTGCTTTTATTTGGTGTTTAGTGAGTGTGTGAGGTTGTAAGAGAGACTTTTACACACATATATTGATGTGTAGGAGAAAATACAAAATAGGCACCTCAGCTGTCAGAACATAGTAAACATAGTAAGTGTACTTATGCATGCACTCTATAAATTGCAGTTTTACTCCACAGAACTCCATATAAAAGTCAGACACGCTTTTGCACGGGGCAATGTAAAGGATTTAATGGTGCCAACTGATGATCAACAGTAAAAATGAAATTTGACCTCTTCCTAAGTGGGAACCCACTAACCAGAGTTGGTGCTGGTCAAAAGGAGACCCTAAGATAATTTTTACTGCGGTGCTTCAGCAGAGAAACAAAAACACACAAACATATGTATTTAAATGTGTATTCATTTATTATATATAAAAATATGCATATAAACACGCAACATTAAATGTTTCATAAAATAACAGTTTACGTCAAAATAAACACTGACATGTCTTCTGCAGAAGGATTCCTAATTGCAAACATTTACAAAGGTTGTCATAAAACCCTGTCTGAAGCTGTGGAGATAGACGGTCCTCGGTGCTGCATGCTGTATCTGTAACGGTCAGCTGCTGGCCTTTTTTCAAAAGGTTTAATCCGGATCAAATTGATCCAGATTTAGTAATTCTGTTTTTGCGATCCGTGATCAGGTAATCCAGCTTACTTTTTGAGCCAGTTTTTCAGAGCAACATCGAATTGGATCAAACTGATACGGATAGGAACTTTTCAGAATCACTAAATCTGGATAACCAGTGCTCAAACAGGATAGGAAATCACAATGTAGAACTATAGATATGTAAAGAGCGACAAGTAGAATAGCCAGCGTGGGGTCAACATAACTTTATTTTTTTTTTAAATGAAAACTTAATAAATATTAAATTAATAGTAATAATAAATAATAAAAGCAAGAAAAACAACACCGCATCCTCTTCCAGCAGTCCACTCATCTGATACCTGAAACACTGTACATTGAGGATATTTATAACAAGTTTTCAAATATAGATGTAAATAAAAAAAAGACTTAATGTCAAAAACTCCACAATAATCTCAGACTTCCTCATCTGATGTGGAGAGAGCAGCTTGTCTGAGCGTAGCCTTTAGGAGGCGGATCTCAAGTCCTTGGCCTTGGTTTGCTGCAGTTTGGTCAGAGTCAGTTGTTCCTCTGTCAGACGAAGCTGTGCTTCTGCCCTTTCAGTCTCTTTTTGCAATTGTCAAAAGAGATTTCAAAAATCAGTCATTGCCATTCTTTGCATTTTTTGTTTATTCTGTAATCATTGCATGCATCACTAATAAATATTCTAAAAAGAAAAATATTTTTCATTGTGATGAATATATATATCAATTAGTGACAAAATAAAATTGATTGTTTTTGGTCAATTTTCACAGCTGTTTGGGGGATTATTTTATGAGGCCAAACTCTTTCTACGTTGCTGGAGGCCTATACTGAAAGGCTAAATACATTAAAGCCAATAATCACTATAGCCTGACGGATGAACAAATAAAAGTAAAACCTTATGAATAAAGAGCCGTCACAACTGCTGATACCTGTCTGGTTATTCCCACAATAAAAAGAAAACACAATGCAGAACCCTTGATGGAGCTGCCAAATATCAGATGATGGGTTCAAAGTAACAATGTGTAAATTATGTTTAAAGTGAAATTCATTCAATCATTCATTTTCATTTCGGCTTAGTCCCTTAATTAACCGGGGGTCACCACAGCGGAATGAACCGCCAACTTATGCAGCATATGTTTTACGCAGAGGATGCCCTCCCATGTTGCAACCCATTACTGGAAAACACCCATACACTACAGACAATTTAGCTTACCCAATTCACCTATACCGTATGTCTTTTGGACTTGTGGGGGAAACCGGACCAACCAGTGAAAACCCACACCAACACGGGGAGAACTTTAGTGAAATTCTTCTAGAATTTTTTAAAATACCACCCGATATTGATAGACCACACTTATGAGTTAGTAACCACAGCAAAACATATTTCTGTTTAAAACATCATCTTTTCAAAATATACTCATGAAATTGAGATAATTTCTGTATTTCTGTTTAGTCTTGTTGGTTTACCACAGCGGAATGAACCCCCAACTTATCCAGCACGTTTTTAGCAGATGCCCTTCCAGCTGCAACCCATCACTCGAAAAAACTAAACTTTTAGTTATTTCTAATTATTAACACACAGTCATGTCATTCATCTCAAAACCTTTATTACTTCTTTTTACTGTTAGAAAGATATATCAGAGTAAAAACAACTAGTGTAAAAGTCTGCGTCTCTCTGTGTCGCTCAGGCTGCACTGCAGTGTCTATTCACAGGCGCGATCCCACTACTGATCAGCACGGGGGATTTGACCTGCTCCGTCTCCGACCTGGGCCGGTTCACCCCTCCTTAAACGACCTGGTGGTCCCGAGCTCCCCCAGGAGAACCATATCGATACCGAACTTAGCGCGGACACCCGATCAACATAGTCCACTGCAGTCTAGAAGCCCTGAGCTCAAGCGATCCGCAGCCTCAGCCTCCCAGTAGCTTGGATTACAGGCGCGCGCCACTGAACCCGGCGAGAGCTGAGAGAATCAGAGCTGTGGAGAATCTGATCATCACAGCGACCTCTAGTGGAGGAAAACTGAATGATGAATAAAAACTGACTTCATAGCCTTATGACATTAGATAATAATAAACAGCAGTATGATCACAAATAAAAAAATTACAGTAATTAGTATCAACAGTGTTTTTGAACTAAAGATTATTATACCATATTTATTAGCCTTTACAACTCTTTATGAGTGCCACAACATTCTGTTTTCTGTATCAACTAATAAAATGTAATAAATATTGTAGTATACTTTCGTTTTTTTTTACAGTAAAAGTGGTTTATTGTATCATAATACATATAGCTGTAGAAAACATATTACAGAATGGGTGATTTGTTTATATTAGGTGTGCATCTGCATAAAACATTACAAACAATCTACGAGCAGAGATAAATACAATATAAAATTCTGAAATAAAATGAACCGAGCTTTGTTGTTTTTCAACGAGTCTAACAGTATTCAGGTACAGTAATGTAATAATCAAATGTAAAATAATACTGCTATTGTCTTCATTTTTTAATTAAATAAAATGATTTGCTATTAAAATGACAAATTATGCAATTTATTAGACCTGAATGCTTTTACAGTCGCAGGCCTCAGAAACACACGCAAATGCTAAATTATAATCCAGACTCAACCTTGTATTTCTTGTGATATGACTATTGTGAATGATCATTGATGCTGAAATAATGCTCTGGGATAATTTATGTGAGCTAAGGGATAATTGACCCAAAAATGTTAATTCATAATCGTCACAATCATATTTATGCGGTGAACTATCCATTTAAGATTGTGCAAAGAGTGAACCTCTGTAAAAGTAAAGCTTTAATGTTTTAATTTTCCACTTAAATACCAGTTCCTCATCTAACATTCATTCATGCAGTGAATAACTATCATTAACTGAGTTACATATTTATTATTCAGTTTACTCTTACTCATCTACTAACTGTGGTGTCAGATGCGGTTTTGACCTCCATCAGTGTTTTTAACATCTATAAGACTAGACAGAATCTCACACAATCTGTGGCATAAATTGATAGACTGTTTCA